ACTTTGCTGGCACTGTAATAAACCTGGGCACAAGAGAGCTCAACGCTGGCAACTTCAACACAGGGGAGATGCTACCCAGAAAGGTTGTTGGAACTGTGGAGAGCAAGGACATATGAGGAGCCAGTGTAAGAAGAATACCACCAATAAGTTAGCTTCGGGAAACCAGTGGTGTTTGTTGCTGAGGGACGCCCACCAACACCCATTGTGAAAGTCTGAACAGCTAAGTGTAAAATGGCAAGCACACATAGTGTCTCAGTGACAGGGAAGCTGGATGGCCAAAGGTGCAACTTTGTTAATGATTCTGCTTCTCAGCAAACCCTGGATCACAAAGGAGTACCAGAAACTGTACAGAAGCTCTGTGGTATGACAGGACATTATACAAGGTTGTGGGGACCAGTGTGGGTAACTATTGAGCTCATGGGCATGAAGAACAGGCAGAAAATATACTTGGCTGACATTGAAGACCAATGCACATTAGGATTGGACTATTTACTACCAAGGAAGTGTGTAGTTAACTTCGATAAAATGACGATTGGAAACAACAAAAGCCAAATTCTAGTAAGTGTTGCTACATCTGTTGATTTGCATGACACAACACTTAATGAACTACAATATGTCAGAGATGATAATTTGGGATAGGATAAAAGAACATCCCCAAGGAAGCCCAATGCTTGTGGAAGCAGTGGAAGACCCATCCAGGCCAGCAGATTGGAAGATTGAAAGATCACTTGTGGCAGGTCATCAAGTAGTACCTATAACAGTGGCCAATTTCTCTAAATGTGAACAGACACTTAAGGAAGAAGCATTGTTGGGTGTGTGCCAGGAGATAGAACCAGGCAATGTTAAAGCAAGAAATACAACTATGAAGAAAGGACATACACTCCCAGAACATTTAACTGACCTCTATAAGAAGAGCATAGTCCATTTTGTCATCATCACAGGCTCTTCAGATTAGAGAACTTTTGGCGAATTATGCAGACGTCTTTTCGAAAGGAGATCATGACCTCGGCTGCACAGACCTTGTGGAGCACAGAATAAACACAGGCAATCACCAACCAACAAAGATCCCTCCAAGGAGAATGGCTCTGGCAAAGCGATAAGAGATGGAGAAGGTCATGGATGGCCTAATTAAGGAAGGGATAGTCGAGAAATCA